GTGGAATCTTCCCAGACCAGGGGTCAAACTTGTGTCCCCTGCTCTGGCAGGCAGATTCCGAACCACTGGACCACCAGGGAATCCCTGTATTAGTTTCTTATGATCCTTTGTATTTCTGTGGTGTGGGTTGTAATTTCTCCTCCTTTCAGTGTCCTTGCCCCCACTGTGAGCTAAAACCTACTTCTGCTTCCTCAGTAAGCCTCCAAGACCTCTAGATGGGTCTCTGGACCTGCTGTGTCAGCCTCATCTCTGCGTGTGTTCCTCTCACCAGTGTCTATTTGTGGAGCTGGTCCAGAGCCACGTGTGCCAGGCAGGCCAGCAGGGACCCAGGCCTCCACAGGCCTGTCTGCATGGGCCAGTGCAGCCAGAGGCGGCCTCAAGGGGTTAACCCTCAGCCCACCTTGACCTGTGTGGCCAGATGGGGCCTGGAGGCAGGGGGAGGCTCAGGCTCGAGACCCCAGCAGGCTTGCTGGGGCCCGAGTGGGCAGGGGACACACCGACCACCTTCCCCTCTATCCGCCCCCCAAGGTCCCTCTCTGTCCCTGCTGATCCCCTCACCTGAGTGGCCCCCTCCAAGCTCGGAATCTCTCCCCTTCCTCAGCCCCATTTCAGGGCATTGGTCCTGTTCTGCTTCCCTTTTCCTTCTCCCTCCTTCCATCCCACATCCTACTTGGTTGCGCAGGAATTCTCCCCATCCCCTGAGGTGTCTCAGGATCCCACTAGTGCTAGTAGGTGCCTTGGCTGTGAGGAGACTCGAGCTCCGAGTCCTCCTGCTCTGCCATCTTGACTCCGTTCCCTTTAGCTGTGTTTCTGCTCCGCCGGGCGAGGTCGGCAGGCTTGGATCGCTCCCATGGGGTGTCTTCCACTGAGTCTTCCTCCTCTGGACTGTCCACCGGTGGATGTGCTCTGTTGTGTCACTTCGACCCCATGTGCGAGCTCTCAGGCTGCACGGTTGTTGGCGCTGCCTTTGGCCTGGCCTTAGCTGTGGGTTTTTTGGCAGTTGGTCCTGCTGTCTCTCAGATTGTTTTCAGCAGACCGCCACGGAGATCACTGAAGTTTGGTCGCAGCCTGGCAGCGACCATGGATCTGGACCTGCTGTAGAGGCAGCTCAGACACTGGGCTGGCCAACCCTTGCGAGTCCATGTCCACGAAGCCCGCAGCTGCTAAAGCTGGACCCGTCTCGGCTGCGGGGGCACTTGTCTGTTCCAGTGTCCTGCAGGCTCTGAAGTTACAAAGCCAGTCACTGGGGTGTAAATCCAAAGTTCATGCGACCCTGAGGAGAGATTTCAGCTTCTCTTCCTTAGTCGCATGACCCCTGGGGCTCAGCTGTTGTTTCAGCCCCACCTGTGCCTGTGGGCCACCCACAGGCGTCTGCTCCTGACCTGCTCTGGAGCCTGCCCTGGCAGGGTGGGGGGAGGGGGGTGCGGGGGCAATGGTGGCCACACCCCTTGCATGTCACTCAGCAGTGGCACTTTGCTTCCATAGTGGTCCAGGCTTCCTCCTCAAGCATTCCCAGTTGTGGAACTCCTCACTCACATCCCCTGACTGTCTCTTTGCAGCCCACAGCAGTCCTCTCCCCGAGACTGTTCTTCGAACTCCACGGTCTAGCATCCAGCCCCTTTGCACATTTACAGGCACCCTACCCAGGCTGGGGCGTGCAGGGCTGTGGCACGGACCCAAAGCTCCTTTCTCGGCTGCGGGGGCACTTGTCTGTTCCAGTGTCCTGCAGGCTCTGAAGTTACAAAGCCAGTCACTGGGGTGTAAATCCAAAGTTCATGCGACCCTGAGGAGAGATTTCAGCTTCTCGTCCTTAGTCGCATGACCCCTGGGGCTCAGCTGTTGTTTCAGCCCCACCTGTGCGTGTGGGCCACCCACAGGCGTCTGCTCCTGACCTGCTCTGGAGCCTGCCCTGGCAGGGTGGGGGGAGGGGGGTGCGGGGGCAATGGTGGTCACACCCCTTGCATGTCACTCAGCAGTGGCACTTTGCTTCCATGGTGGTCCAGGCTTCCTCCTCAAGCATTCCCAGTTGTGGAACTCCTCACTCACATCCCCTGACTGTCTCTTTGCAGCCCACAGCAGTCCTCTCCCCGAGACTGTTCTTCGAACTCCACGGTCTAGCATCCAGCCCCTTTGCACATTTACAGGCACCCTACCCAGGCTGGGGCGTGCAGGGCTGTGGCACGGACCCAAAGCTCCTTTTCTGTCGGCTGATCTCCCTGCCAGTGAGCAGTGAGTGGGCTTCTCTGGATGCAGAACCTCTCCTTTGCTTTAGCTTCTCTCCTGGGGTGCAGGTCCCATCCCATTTCCTCTTTGCTTTTTCTTTCTTTCATCCTACCCAGTTACACAGAGATCTGTTTTGTCCTTTTAGGTGTCTCAGGGCTTCTGCTAGTGTTCAGCTGGTGCTCTGTGAGATTTATCCTTGTGTAGATGTGTTTTTGATGCATTTGTGGGGAGAGGTGAACTCATGTCCTACTGTTCCTCCACTCTCTGGACTGTTGAACCCACACAATTAACACATTATTTACCAGCAGAATTAACACATTATTTACTGGAGACATCAGCACATCAGTTGTCAACCCCAGTGTTATTGACCAGATAGGTATCGATAGATTTTTAGAAAGTGATACAATTGATATCACCATGCAAAGTCGTTAGAGCTTAAAATTCGTCATGGGTTCCTTATACAATTCAGGATTGTTATTGTCATTCACATTTTGCTCCAACCTTATGTATGTTATAAATGCAAGGTTAAGGCCATAAAATTTTAAAAAATGATGCATCACAAAATTTTGAGTGAAGAATGTTTGCTTTGATTGAGCGACATATATACTGTCTCAGAAGATGATAATTCTTCAGTATGTAATTCTGACTCTGAATATTAAGACAATGTGAACCATAAGAAGACAAAAATTGATTCTGATAAGGAAAGTGAAAATGAAATTCACAATGCCAGAGAAGACATTACAGGTGTGTCAGGTGTAACTGCTGAGTGTGATAATCTGCAAAATGTTAGTGAAATAGCAGAATTAATTTTTGGCCTGCTGAAATAAAAATTGCTGGCCATAGGCATTAGTTTCTGTAAAAGTCCCCTGGTCAGTAGTGAGTTAATAGAAGAATAGACCTTGGAAGGTAGTGGTCAAGACAGGGATATAATCTATTTCTGTACATGTATACAAATACATACATCTTTGTATGTATTGTATTTCCTGGAAGATTTTGAGAAATGGGATTATCTAAGCGGATCACCTATTTTTGACCAAATGCCATCCCACAGAAGCGCAGTGCTTGACACATGTCAGCAAATCACCGCTCTTGGCCCCAGGCTGACACAGACACTGCTGTCTCTGTCCTCAGTCACACTTGGCGGCTGGTGCAGTGGCTCCAGTTTAAAGCAGCTTGTTTGCAAGCTCCTGTGAGCCATCGCTCATGGATTGTCCTACAGTAAATCTCCATGTGTGTTGATGCTGTAGCAAATGCCAGCTGGGCAGCTTCTCTGTGTGAAGAGTCTGGTAACAGAGCTGCCTTCCCTGTGAAGGCAGGAGTGGCTTCGTCCTGCTTCTGTGTCAGGCCTAGCCCTTAGCGGAGTGCCCTGTACCTGGGAGAGGTCATCTGTCTGCTGACTGGCTGAATGAAAACAACCGGAGATGGCCTTGTGTGTTCAGGACTAGGGGCACTGCCTGTTGGAGGGTCTCTGGGTCTGAGCTCCTCGTGTCCCCTCTGTGGGGCTCCATCAATCTTCTGTGATGTCAGAGGCTTCATCTTCTCCACTTTGTGATGTCACTACTGAGCCACCTGCCAACGGCCGTGACTTCTCAGGCCCTGTGGCACTCAGCCTGTTCCTGTCCTGTCTAGATGCTGTTCTGAACAGATTTGCTGTGTCTTCTCCTCCCAAGGGCAGACCAGTATCTGATGTGACTCATACCCTGAGTTCAGCAGAGCGGCCAGTACGGTGGTCCTCACCATGTGTTTGCTGAGTGAATGCACAGCTTCAGAGCATCACCAGGGGCCCCAGATGATGCGTGAATAGAGAACAGGTGACCAGTGATGTGTTTCTGGAGCTACTCAGAGATGCTGCTGGGGGTTTCTGCACGGAGCTTGGGCAGGGGATAAACAGTGCAGGAGCAGATGGCTGGGTCAGATGATCCAGGAGCTGGTTCTCCTCTTACGGCCTGTGAATGACCTAACCTTTCTCAGCTGCATCTGAGAGATGCATTGGATTGTTGTATTAAATGGGAAAATACCTGGGACATGGTTAATTATTGTTACCATGTTTATTATTAAGTAAAATTCCTAGCCATGTTGAAAGTGAAAAAGTGAAAGTGAAGTCGCTCAGTCGTGTGCGACTCTTTGCGACCCCATGGACTGTAGCCTACCAGGCTTCTCTGTCCATGGGATTTTCCAGACAAGAGTAACCCACTAGAGTGGGTTGCCATTTCCTTCTCCAGGGGATCTTCCGGACCCAGGGATCAAACCCAGGGCTCCCGCATTGCATGCAGACGCTTTACCCTCTGAACCAGCAGGGAAGCCCATGTTAGGCCCAACCAATAATAGTGGGGCCAAAGTGGAGGAAGATTACAGATTGGAGGCGGGGGGAGACATGAGGTTTCTGACATCTCTCTCTTCTGGTTATCCCGTCCTTCCCTTGAAATAGCTCAAGCTCTGCTTTTGCATCACCTGGAGATGGGATGGGCCCCAGGCCTCTGAGAGGGTCCCGGAGAGAGCAGTTCATGGTATGGGATGCAGTTGTAGAAAAGGCCGGAAAAGAGTGCAAAGGGAAACAGGCACTAAGGAGGCACCCAGATCCTAGCTGTATTAAAGGAAAGATGTAATAGCACTTTGTGAAACCTTGAATTTGTATGCAAGCTAGCTATTAGCATCACAACATGCTTATCCTATTACCAGTGTTTATGCTGGGCAGTGGGTCCTTTAGGTTAGACTATATTTCTTAAATTTTAATGTACTTGCTCTAATCCTAATTCTAATTTGTCTAAATCCCACAGGCATTTCTTGAGGGTCTACTGTGCTATGCTTGGTGGTTCAGATGGTAAAGAATCTGCATGCAATGCAAGAGACCCGGGTTTGATCCCTGGGTCAGGAAGATCCCCTGGAGAAGGGAATGGCAACCCACTCCAGGTATTCTTGCCTGAGGAATTCCATGGACAGAGGCAAAGTCGGACACTACCAAACAACACTTTCTTTTTTTCACTTTTACACTGTGAGTGCACTGTGAGCTTATAGGGAAGAGGGCCGTGCCTTTGTGAGGCTCACCACCCACTGTGCCTGTGAAGCCATAGGGTGTTAACTCAGGTTCCTTGGGGCCAGGAAGAAGTCCCCTGAGCATCACTTCATGGCCAGTGGCAGACTGGAGGAGGCTGGGAATATAAACTGGTCTTCCTGGGCAAGCACACAGTGACCTACCAGGCCTGCCACTGCTCAGGCCGTGTGGAATGCGCTCCTGCCTGGGGAAGGGAGCTCAGGCCATTTTAAATGCAGAGGAAGAGAGGGGGTTCCAGCCTCTAGGGCATATGCCCCATCTGTTGCGTCTCCCACCTGGAGCAGTGACTCAGAACCTACTGGATGCTCTGTTGAAATGCCAGAGGGATGTCCTCACCAGCTACGGTGCTGCTGCTCCTGAGCGTCCTCTGGGAGGTGTTGCTAGGCAACGAGCTGACCACCTTGATCATGGTCCAGCCCACAGCTTCCTTTCAGGTGCCATTGCACAGGTGCTGACCAGATGTGGCCATGACTGCCACAGAAGCAGTTTGCTGCCCATTTGGTCTCCCAGGTGGTGACTTAATGTTGGATTGAACTTCCATATTGGTCACTAGCCACTTTATGAGCCTCTGTGCCTTTAGTTCAGTGTCCCAAGTGTCATTTTAAAAAGGCCTGCTTTGTTCTGGCTTCTCCCCTAAGTGGGTCAGGGTAAATTTAGACAAGATCTTTAATGGCTCTGAGAATTCAGTTCAGTTTGGACTTAACTTTTGAGGACACAGAGTTCTCACGGGGAAGATGTTCCAGTCTTATTCTGAACCTCTGCTTTAACCAGTCTACTCTGATTATGACCTCCTTCAGGACTAAGGTCAAGCCAACAAGGAGAAAGTGACAGGAGAGGACCTCTGTGGCCTGGAGAGTAGAGGCTTTTTACACCAAAAATCCCTTTGCCTTCCTGGGATGTGCAGCCTGTAGCCCATGGGGGATCCTGCCTCAGTCAGGCTGCAGCTGCTCCAGAATTCCTAAAGGGAAGCAACTTCAGGGACTAAGGAATGTCCTTGAACCTGTTCACATCACTTTGCTAGCAGTAAGAAGTCAGCTATTCATATCTGAATAAAGTGTGAGGGGATGATGGACATGAGAGGAGGTGGGCTCCACGCCCTGTCCTCCCCGCTGCCAGCCCCCCAGCCAAGCCTGGTGCTTCCTCCGCCAGAGTCATGATGTCAGCTCTTGCTCATGGAGGTGTGGAGTGGGACAGTGCCTGGACAACCCCTCCTCAGGACAAACACGTTTTAAGTAAATCACTCCTGTGGTCACATCTGTGGCTTCTCTGTGGCCCCTCCAATCCATGACTCTGTGTTTCTTCACTTGGGCCAAGGTACTACACTTTCAAGTGTAGCAGTGCTTTAGGCAATTTCCCTGCCTTCTCCACCATCCATGCAAATATAAATGCAGTGTCACCATGCCTGAGTTCCTCCTCCTCGTCAGTTACGTGAGAAAGAATACCACATGAATAGCAGAAGCAGTGGTAGGTGACCACTGCATTTGGAGAACACTCTGAGAAAAGAATTCTGGTCCGGTTGGTTGGGAACATCCCCTGGAGAGGGAAATGGCAACCGTCTCCAGTATTCTTGCCTGGAGAATCACAAGGACAAAGGAGCCTGCAATTCCATGGGGTTGCAAAGAGTCGGATACGACTTAGTGACTATCACTCACTCAGGTCGCTTGAGGCTGCTCCACAATCTTGAAAAGAAATGAAGTCGGTGATATTCAAGACGTGATTTAGAAGCAGCTGGGCTGAGACGGGCCAGGTCCACCTGACAGCCTAAGCATGTCCCGTAGCAGGGCCAGCTCAGGGCCAGCTCAGCCCCGCTCGCCTGCAGGCAGGCTCTGCGGGTGGGGCCCTTGCAGCCCCTCTGCTCAGGGATGCCCGGGCCGAGTCTAGCTTCCCAGTGCCTTTACTATGACATTAAGACAGTCACCTTGATTTCCAAGATTGTCAGTCTGTATGAGATGATGCTGTTTCGAGAACAAGTGTCCTCTGGCAGACCGTGTGCTAACTCACTGTCGCCTCTCTTGCTCACAGCCACTTTGTGAGGTAGGTGCTGTGATTCCCACTGCACAGAATTAGAAAGCCAAACCCCTGGCAGGGTGAGGACCGTGCCCACGACTGCACAGTGCTGTACCCACGTCTCTCTGACTCAGCCCCTGAGCTCTTACATGTGGTTAAGACGGGCTCTTGAACAGTGCTGCAGAACAGAATTAATTCCAAAGGGGATTAATTCATTAAAAAATTCCAGTGCCCAGGTCTCGTCCCAGACCAATTACATCGTGAGGTCTGGGGCAGGGGGTGGGGATGGGGTTTCTGAAGGCCCCTGGGGGTGACCCCAGTGTGCAGTAAGGTTTCGGGACATCTTGGTTAAGCACTTCTTCTCTGCCAGCATTCACAGTTCCCAGTCTTGGCTGTCCAGACCCACAGGGGACCCGTCTAAATATACTGATGGATACACCCACGGGATCTGATTTATTTGATTTGGGAAGGGCCTTAAGTTACTCCAAGCAACTCTCAAATGCCGTGAGGACAGGGACCATTGTGCTAAGTTTCAAGGGAAGCACCCTCTGAAAATGGTTGCCATGGTTAAAATTATGTATTAAATGAGGGCTTGGTGAGGACAAGTCTTTTTATAGTCTTTTTCAACATGCACTTGTAATTCCCTGGAAAGCCACTCTTCACCTTTGTCTCAGTTTGCTGGCTCAGAGGAGCTCTGTCTGGACTTTTCCAACAAATGTAGCTGGAAAGAAAAAGGAAGGGGGCAGGAAGCAGCGTCACTGGAATATTCGAGCTGTTTGCTTGTGTTTTATCCCTGTAGTCAGTTAAGTTCAGTAATAATGTCTGTCCTCTGAGGTAAAGGAACTGAAAGTTCCATTCAGTAAGAAAATAATAACTTTGCATAGCTTTAAAATCTGTTAATATAAAGTAGCAGCTTTATATGCTGTGAAAATTTGATCTCTTTTTTTTTCTTTTCTTAAAATGTGTGCTTATTTTTTATTGAAGTATAGTTGATTTATAATGTGTTTCTGGTGGATGGTAAGGTGATTCAGTTATATATATGTGTGTGTGTGTAATTATTTGGATTTGTTTCCGTTACAGGTTATTACAGGATACTGAATATAGTTCACTGTACTGTATAGTAGGTCCTGTTGTTTATCTCTCTTATATGTAATAGTCTGTATATGTTAATCCCGAACTCCTACTAATTCATCTCTCCCTGTTTCCTCTTTGGCAACCGTAAGTTTGTTTTTTATGTCTTGAGTCTCTGTTTTGTTTTGTAAATAAGCTCATTTTTGTCTTCTAGATTTTACATATTAATGATATCATATGATGTTTGTCTGTCTGACTGACTTAGTATGATTCTCTCTAGGTCCATCCATGTTGCTGCAGATGGCATTATTTCATTCTTTTTTATGTCTGAGTAATATTACATTGTGTATATATACCACATCTTTTTTATCCATTCATCTGTCAGTGGACATTTAGATTGCTTCCATGTCTTGGTCATTGTAAATAATGCTGCTATGAACAGGGTGTGTGTTTCTTTTCTAATTATGATTTGGCTCAGACCATAAAGAGTCTGCCTTTAATGCAGGAGACCGAGTTTGATCCCTGGGTGGGGAAGTTCCCCTGGAGAAGAAAATGGCAACCCACTCCAGTATTCTTGCCTGGAGAATTTCATGGACAGAGGAGCCTGGTGGGTAACAGTCCATTGGGTCACAAAGAGTTGGACTGAGTGACTAACACTTTCACTTTTCCATATATATGCCTGGGGATATATATATGGGATATATGTATAGGATTGCAGGATCATGTGGTAGCTCTATTTCGAGTTTTTTAAGGAACCTCCATACTGTTTTCTGTGGTGGCTGTATCAATTTACATTCCCAGCAAGAGTATAGGAGGGTTCTATCCCACACCCTCTCCAGCATTTATTATTTGTAGATGTTTTTTTTAAAGGTTTAAATTTTTAAAAAAGATTTTATTGACGTATAGTTGATTTACAGTGTTGTGTTAATTTTTTCTGTGCAGGAAAGTAACTCAGTTATACATATACATACATATATATATATGCACACACGCATACACACATTCTTTCTCACATTCTTTTCCATTATGGTTTGTCACAGGGTATTGAATATAGTTCTCTGTGCTATACAATAGGACCTTATTGTTTATCCATCGTATATATAATAGTTTGCATCTGCTTATCCCAAACTCTGTCATCCTCCACTCCCTGTCCTCTGAGTCTTTTTTTGTTCTGTTGATTTGGGTCATATTTTAGATTCCACATGTAAGTGATATATAGTATTTGTCTTTCTCTTATTTCCTTAAGTATGATAATCTTTTGGTCCATCCTTGTTGCTGCAGATGGCATTATTTGATTCTCCTTGATGGCTGAGTAATACTCAGTTGTGTAAATGTGCCACATCCCCTTTATCCATTCATCTGTGTCGATGGACGTTTAGGTTGTTTCTGTGTCTTAGCTATTGTACACAGTGCTGCAGTGAACATAGCGGGTACAGGTATCTTTTCTTAGTTATAGTTTTATCTAGGTATATGCCCAGGAGTGGAATTGCTGGATCATATGGCAACTTTAGTTTTCTGAGGAACACTCATAGTGGCTGCATCAATTTACATTTCCATCAGCAGTGGAAGGTTCCCTTTTCTCTACATCGTCTCCAGCATTTGCTATTTGTAAACTTTAATGATGGTCATTCTGACTAATGTGAGGTGGTACCTTGTAGTTTTGATTTGCATTTCTTTAATAATTAGTGATGTTGAGCATCTTTTCATGTGCCGATTGGTCATCTGTGTGTGCTCTTTGAAGAAATGTCTATC